GCTGGGGAGGATGAGACTTCCTCTTCCTTGCACAGCATCAGACTCACCCCTAGATTTCTCCCCAGCTGCAGGAAGCTCTGCAAAGTCCCCCGCCCGCAATTACCTGTGCCCATCACTCCTCAGATGCAGGGGAGGGATCCCTGTACAGGGAGCTGTTCCCCCATCCACCCAATTCCCATGGATCCAGACCCCCTCATATCCATACCCTCCTGACGAGCCTCACCCCCGCACTCGGAACCCCCGATGAGCCCCACTCCCCCTGCACCTGGATCACATGACAAGCCACCCACACCCGGATCCCCACTCCACCAAGCCCCAACCAGATGCACCTAGATCCCCACCTCAGTGAGCCCCACTTCCCCAGCATCTGGAACCCCCCCCACCAACCCCCTCCACCCAGACCCCTTCTGCTTAGCCCCAACCACCTTCACCTGGCCCCCACAGCAGACTTCCATTACAGTTGCACCCGGAACCCCCTAAGAAGCCCCTGTGCATCCAGATCCCTCCTGCACCCAGATCCCCCACTGAGCCGCTTGAACCCAGATTGCCCCACACATAACCCTCTCAACCCACACCTGGATCTCCTCACACTAAGCCCCTCCACACTTGGATACTGCCTTGCTGAGTCTGCCTGCCCACACCTGGTGCACCTGGTACAGAGGAGAAGGGCCCTGGGGTGTTTCTGGGGCAGTTCCAGTCCTTGCGCTGAGTCAGGGTTGTGTGCAGCCTCACTGCTTAGTCTGTGTCCCATAGCGGGAGAGGGGAGCTGCACAGTGATCTCCCACCTCTGGGCAGCCAGTGGCCTGTGCTCCCCAATGCCATACTGGAGCCTCCACATTTATTTGACAAATATAATTTGTAGAATTTTAAACTATCATGCACAGAATGTCCTCAGGAGTAACAACGTGCATCCCAATTATCCACAAAGATAACGGAAGTATCTTTACCCAAACCACAATTCTTAATTGTGTGAGCATTTAAGCCTCCTGGTGCAAACTCACGAAATGCAACTTGATACGTGTGATGGTGCTTAATTTTAAATGTGTTCTCATGCATAAGAGATGTCCAACAAATGGTGAGAGTAAGGACTGTTTTTGTTTAAAGCACTAACAATTACTTCTGTAATCAAGCACCTTCATTTTGAAGTATTTTAGATATCCAGTACTTTTTTTAGACCCTATTAGATTCTTTCTTAAATCATTAACTTAAGTCAACCAGACAATAAATCCATTAATGTACAAGAGGGCTTTTAGATTTATCCATTCTCCTTCCTTGTTGTCACTGGTTGGTAAGTCATAAACAAAGTGCACCCACCTCATCTTCCAAAATAGCTTTGAAATTTGAAGATTTACTAAACATAGAATGATAGTCTATTTAAATCTTCAGTAATTTTACCATACTACCCAAGAACCATAAATCACTAGTGACATTGGCTAACAAGGGTTTAAGAGTTGGAACACGGAGTGTAATAAATTTCCAGACAGTTAAAAATCACTATAATTTTATTCTAATGCATTATAGATTGCCTGTAATGTCATCCTGGCCGGGGTGACCCATTTCTAATTTTGAACAGCTGTTCAGCTTGGGAGTTAGTTAATGATTAAATATAAATTGCCTGATTTATTAGTCTGAATGGCTGAGCTTCTAGGTCAATGCTATATAGACAAAATCATCAGTCTTGATGCTTTCCAGAAGTTAACTGTCTCCTGTTCTAGTCAAAAAGAATTTATTCTCAGAGGAAAAGATGACATTTTGAATGAATCCTTTAAAATATTTTCTCTTATCTTACACAATACTACCACTAAAGAAAACTCTCAGTTTTTGGAAAGAATTTTCTTCACATTTGAAATAAACCCTTAAAACCAAGTCTTAGTGATTACCACCAGGCATAGACCCATTGAGAACTCAGTAGGATTACACATGGTAGTGAGTACTTGCAACATCTGGCTAATGTTGAGAATTTGAGGTTTGTCTTGCTCCAACTAAAAAACTGTTCAATCCCAGCTAATAGGAAAATACACCAGTGATTTCACTGTGCTGTAACAGAGTAATTTTTTTCTTCTTTAAGGGTCTGACAACATGCAAATTAAAATTAACTAGATGACAAAAACTGGTTTGTTTTAATCGCATCAGATGGTTTCAGCAAATTAAGCGCTCCCATTCTGCTTTTCAAACAGACTTAGATCTCCTTGACCGCAGTCTTCACTGCCTGACTGCAGAAATGCAGTGTTTTGTAGCCCAGAATACTAGAGAGACAAGGCGGGTGAGGTAATATCTTTTATTGGTCCAACTTCTATTGGTAAGAGAGACATGCTTTTAAGCTTACACAGAGCTCTTCTTCAGGTGACTTTGAAAGCAGTCTCTCTCTCCTATAGAAGTTGGTCCAATAAAAGATATTACCTCACCCACGTTGTCTGCAGAAATGGAGGCATTCCTTGGAAAATAAGTGAGTTGTGTTCTTGCAGAATACGTAAACAAAGACTTTATGAAATGTAACTGAACTAGGACTGTCAAGCAATTAAAAAAATTAATCGCGAATAATGGTGTGATTAATCGCACTGTTAAACAATAATAGAATATCATTTATTTAAAATATTTGGATGTTGTCTACATTTTCAAATATATTGATTTCAGTTACAACACAGAATACAAAGTGTACAGTGCTCACTTTATATTTATTTTAATTACAAGTATTTGCACTGTAAAAAAATAGTATTTTTCGATTCACCTAATACAAGTATTGTAGTGCAATCTCTTTATCATGGAAGTTGAACCTACAAATGAAGAATTATGTACCAAAACCCCTGCATTCAAAAATAAAACAATGTAAAATTTTAGAGCCTGCAAGTCCACTCAGTGCTACTTCATGTTCAGCCAATTGCTCACACAAACAAGTCTGTTCACACTTGCAGGAGATAATGCTCCCCTCTTCTTGTTTACAATGTCACCTGAAAGTGAGAACAGGCATTCTCATGGCACTGTTGGAGCCGGCATCGCAAGATATTTATGTGCCAGATGTGCTAAAGATTCATGTGTCCCTTCATGCTTCAACCACCATTCCAGGGGACATGCGTCCATGCTGATGATGGGTTATGCTTGATAACCATCTAAAGCAGTGTGGACCGACGCATGTTCACTTTCATTATCTGAGTCAGATGCCACCAGCAGAAGGTTGATTTTCTTTTTTGATGGTTCGGGTTTTGTAGTTTCCACATCAGAGTATTGCTCTTTTAAGACATCTGAAAGCATTCTCCACACCTCGTTCCTCTCAGATTTTGGAAGGCACTTCAGATTCTTAAACCTTGGGTTTAGTGCTGTAGCTATCTTTAGAAATCTCACATTGGTACCTTCTTTGTGTTTTGTCAAATCTGCAGCCTGAAAGTGTTCTTAAAATGAACAACATGTACTGGGTCACCATCTGAGACTGCTATAACATGAAATATAGGGCAGAATGCAGGTAAAACAGCAGGGGACATACAGTTCTCCCCCAAGGAGTTCAGTGACAAATTTAATTAATGCATTATTATTTTTTTTAAACAAGCATCATCAGCATGGAAGCATGTCCGCTGGAATGGTAGCCAAAGCATGAAGGGGCATCTGAATGTTTAGCATATATGGCATGTAAGTACCTTGCAATGCCAGCTACAAAAGTGCCATGCAAACGTCTGTTCTCACGTTAAGGTCACATTGTAAAATAAGCAGCGGGCAGCATTTTCTCATGTAAATCTAAACAAACTTGTTTGTCTTAGCGATTGGCTGAACAAGAAGTAGGACTGAGTGGACTTGTAGGCGCTGAAGTTTTATATTGTTTTGGTTTTGAGTGCAGTTATGTCATAAAAAAGAAATCTATATTTGTAAGTTGCACTTTCATAACAAAGAGATTGCACTACAGTACTTGTATGAGGTGAATTGAAAAATACTATTTCTTTTGTTTATCATTCTTGTAGTACAAATATTTGTAATAAAAATAATATACACTGATTTCAATTACAACACAGAATACAATATATATGAAAATGTAGAAAAACATTCAAAATATTTAATAAATTTCAATTGGTATTCTATTGTTTAACAGTGCGATTAAAACTGCAATTAATCATGATTAATTATTTTGAGTTAATCGCATGAGTTAACTGCAATTAATTGACAGCCCTAAAATGAACTTTACTATATTTAAAAAAATCTTTTAAAAATACATTGGAAGAACATAGGAATATAAGTAGTATAACCATCTTCCATGTATTTATTATTTTATTATTGTTAATACTAATTTACCAAGAAAGGATGTGTAATAAATTCCACATATTGTGTCAAGACAGCATTATCTGTGTGAGTAATTATAGCAGCACTATGTCTTACTTGAATGGCTATATAGAAACTGACCATTAAACAGGCATCTGTTTTACTATAATGATATTTGTCTACACATAAAGATAATGGCTACATTGAAAATTATACTATGTTTTTTAATAAAAATGCATTTAGTTCCTATTAAATATGAATAGTTTTGCAACAGCAATATATATATATAAAATCCAGCTAGTGTATTCTACTTACTTACAGACTGAGTGCAATGTGGGCGGATGCAATATGACTCAATCCTGACCGAGAGGATTGTTCAGTCTCTCTGCTCATTAACCAGAGGCTGCCCATGCTGTCATAATGTGTTCACAGTTGTGTACAAATGTGGTGACTTAGTTATGGAGACTTTTCTCTGGGGGCCATGCAAACATAACCTAGTGAGGGGCATGTGATTTTTAAAAAAATGCATGACACCTCTGATAGTATTCTCAGATTTTGGTTGCCTATTACCTTACCTTGCCTATTAGGTTGTGTTTGCTTGCTTGTTTTTTTACTGAAGTGATTTACCTGGGAATTTAATATCTTATGCTCTAGAATTTTTTAATGTAATCAAAATAGTTTCCAAAATTAATAATTAAAATATTCCAAATATTTAATTATTAATTTTGGAAACAGCATTAAGAAAAAAATCTACTTGCCTGAAGTCCCTTGACAAGTCTGTTAGCCAGCTCAATTGTTTTGTTGGTTCGGTTCACATCTTCTTGACATTGGACTTTTTCTGCTATTGCTTTTTCAAATGATGCTGTGAGTCTGCACAGATTGCTATCCAGATCCTGCACAACAGAGTCAGATAGGGGTTTTGTAACCTCAGCCATTTTTTCTCTACTTTAAGAAATAGTTTACGTGTATATAATGACGTTCATTCTGAAGGATGTGAAGTCTTTAAAGCAGGAACTGTGTCTTCCTATATGTCTGTGGAGCTCCTGGCAGATTTTGTGTGCTGCACGCACACACACACACACACACACACACACACACACGCACACACAACTTCCAGAGTTTCTTATTAAGCATACATTGACAGACATAATGAAGAGTACACTGGACCACAGGGATAGGTGAGCAAAGTCTGAAGTTACTTTGTTTTAAAAGGAATCAGGTTTCTGCTTTAATATGACAAGGATGAGTATTATGGTAAGGCCTAAAGGTCCCAACCAAGACTGGGACCCCATTGTACTAGACACCGTACAAAACACATAGCAAGAAATAATCCCTGCTCCAAAGAGCTTACAATATAAACAGACAGCAAAAAGATGACGGACAGAAATTGTAATCATCCCCATTTTACAGAAGGACATCAGGGCACAAGGACATCAAGTGACTTGCCCCATGTCACACAGGAAGTCTGTAGTGGATACAGAAAGGGAATGCAGATCTCAAGTCCAGTCCAGGGCTTTAACGAAAAGACCATCATGATTCTTCCTCTCTGCTCATTGTTATTTATGAGAATCCTAGGTCTCTTCTAACCTGGAAGATTCTATGGTTAACTGAAGAACTAGTTGTATCACAAGAGACTGAAAGGTGGGGAAAGGATTTTTAGACAAGAATGTTTAAAATTATTTCTATTCATCCCTCTTTAACTGAAACATCTGAGAAATACGGAGAATTTGTTTTATTAATTATTATTATTAAAGATTAGTCAGCCCAACTCCTCCATTAAAGCTTAAGAAAGCTCTCAATAATCCTTGAAAGTTTCCAACAAGACCAAAAAGCTACGAAAGACCCTACATTTCCCCTACTTCTACAACCAAAAATTAAAAGCCACCTTCTGTTTAGGACTAAGGCTGTGAGTCTTTCACGAAGGTCACAGATTCTGTGACTTTCCAGGACCTCCGTGACATCCACTGCTGCAGCGGCTGACCCCAGGGCTGCCCAAGCAGCTAGGGTGACCCTGGGGCCAGCCGCACGGGCCGCTGCTTCGGTGGCCCCAGGTAGTCGGTCCCGGGAGCTGCTGTGGAACAGCGGTCTGGGAGCAGCAGCGGTGCCCCGGACCGCCTCCCCCTGTAGGAGGAGCAGCAATGGCCAGAGCACCCCCACCCCCAACCTCCCACAGAACAGCAGCATCTGCTGGAGCGCCTTTCTTCCTCCAGCACCTAAGATTTAGCTTGGAGTATTTTTAGTCATGGACAGGTCACTGGCTGTGACTTTTTGTTTATTGCCCGTGACCTGTCCATAACTTATACTAAAAATACCCGTGACTAAATTGTAGCCTTATTTATGACAAAAAATCAAACAAGGACACACACATTCGCCTCCCTTCACAGGTCACCTTTAACAATCATTAATAGAAGGTAGACAAAAAAGTCCAATATATTGATCATAGATTGAGTTTCTCCATCGCCCAGGTATCCTCCCCCTTATACTTCCAAAGGGAAATTAATGCTTCCTAGCACAGTAAAAAAATAAAAAATAAATGAGTGAAGAAACATGAAAGAAAGATGGCACCAAAGTCAGATGCTTGAGTGACAGACATGTCGTTATGTAAGATTTAAGAAAAAGGTAACCAGTTGGAAAGTCTCATTTTTGCACATGAACATCCAGGTGAGGCACTGCAAGAACACAATAAAAAAGACTTTTGAAAGAAAGCAGTTGCAGAGAGGTCTTCTGAAGCCATTTTGCTGCCCCAAAGCGGTTTCAGAAACTGCTTAGCTAACTTCTGCCTTGCACAAAAATAACTCCATCTCAGAGGTACTAAGAGAAGAGCTACCAAGAAGCAAAGAGTACACAGTTCCACAACAGAATGATTTCCTGCGAAGAAATGTTTTAGACTATAATTACCAAGATCAGTAGTTTGGATAGGCAAATCCATGGGAGTGAAAACAGACAATCAGGAAAATTTCAAAGAATTCAAGCAGTACAATGAGAGCAATAAAATGTTGGAAAGAAGGGAACAGCTGGAATGCCAGGTTAGATCTTGATATGTAAAGGTGATTTGTACTGGCTCCCTCATTACCCACAAGATTTCTATTTTGTTTATAGAGGTGTTTATGATGATGATTTTAAACCGGAAAGTTAAAGATGACCCATTTTGTGTGACAAAATCCTCTGAGGGCTTCCAAAGGGACACTTGAAAAAGATGGAACGTTAACTGTGATCCTACCGGATTTAATGGACTGAGTGAGTCTTGAATGCTGCAAATAGTAAGAAGAGTCTAAAAAAGTTTTTCTTTCATGTCTGTGGAGAATGATGGAGATATCTGTATTATCTTTTATGAATACCATATGTATCTCAGTTTATCTGCTTGATATTATCCTGCCTGACTGCATAGAGTCCAATCAAAGGAGACTGTTGGGGGGAACAAATAGGAAGCAAAACAATACAAAGATACGGTACCCCACCAGTGAGAATACAAAGGGTCCTCATGGAAACAATGCAGGAGCTATTTATTGGGGAATGCCCACCTGCCTGGTTCCAGTCAGACCAGGTTAATTTTTCCCAAGCCTCGGATCAAGTGGCACTAAACCATTAAAGACGCAATGGCCCAAGGAAGCAACACTGTGTTAAACTGTTTCAATACAACACAAAGAGGGGAGACTATCTAGAAAAGACATTATAATGTTTCAATTAGTACTAAATAGCGGATGCTCTTAATGATTTTAGTAATAAAATAAAAACAATAGAAATTTTCAACTATTATATTATGACATTAGTAGTAGCACTGCATAATATGACGTCATGAAGGAATACAAAAAGAAAAAGAAAAAAAGATATGAAATATAAAATTCAAAAAAATTTCCAAAACAATTTTCCATAACAAAAAAGTTTTCAGAATTTTCATTTGATGGGAAATTTCAAGAATATTTGTTTTCATTCTGACATGGAATGAAAACAAAAAACTTTGAAATGTCAAAATTTCCCACAAAACAGAAATTCCAAGTCTTAACCAGCTCTAGTGAGCAGTTGCCAAAAGAGAATGCTGAAGGGGCTTTCTCCCCCAAACCTGGAGCAGGGGTCTGGGCTGAACAGAACTTACCCAAAACTTGCAAGGAAATAAAAAATAAAGTTTAGGTATAGCACAGGCATATAGACCTTCTGTAGTTTTATCCCTGTGCGCTCTGCTTGTTATGTACCTTTGGGTGAATAAATAAATAAATGCTTTGTTTAGAACAGTGGTTTTCAATCTTTTTTCATTTGCAGACCCATTAAAATTTTGAATGGAGGTACAGACCCCTTTGGAAATCTTAGACATAGTCTGTTGACTCTCAGGGTTTCGCGGACCACAGGTTGAAAACCACTGGCTTAGAAGAAGCTCTTGAGTCAGCTTCTGGTTTTAAATCAGCTTTTTAATCAGCTGCTGGTTACAGGCTCCTGGAGGAAGATGGCTTACAGGTGCCAAACACAGCTGGGTCTGTCCTGTTATCACAGTTGGTAAACAGAGGAGCTGCAGCCCAGAGATCCACTCTTAGAGTGGTAGGACTGCATGGTTCTACCCAGAAAGGGATGACAGTAGCGAAACCTGTCACCAAAGAGGTGCACTTGACAGGAACTAAAAAGGGGTCTAAAGCCCAGCTCACCCTGTAACCACCATACTGTGAGAATCTGGGGAGCCAGAACCTCGGTCTGTGGATCCATGAGAAATTGCCACATCCATGCTGCCACCCAACAGGTCTGGCAGAGCAGTGACTGATGGGCTGTGAGCCTTGTGAGGCCAAGCACCACTGGATGTCCTGCCAAGAGAGGCCCTGACTAGAGGAGCTTACCATATTCTCTTATTGGCCCAGGAACACTATTGAAGACGTAGGAAAAACACCTGGAGGCTGTCTGTGCATCAAGGCAGATCACTGACCTGCTGCTTAGATACACCCGGCCTTGTTCCAGCTCTGTCTCAACCTTGACTCCAGGTAACCCAGTTCTGGCTTGTGTATCCTGGCTCTGACCACTAGACTTGACTGCTCCTGCCCCAATTCCTGACAGACATTAACCAGGACCCATTTACAGAGGCCAGCAACTGGGAATTTAGCATTATAAAGACAGAAGACAGTCAGGACTTTCCTTTATTTTTTTTCTGGAGAAGTGCAAATTACAGTAGCCAACCTCAAAAAATAAAAAATCATGAGATTTTCCCCAAACATTCATGGCATTTTTTTTTAAATTATATTGTGTTCTATTTTGGGTCTGTCTTTTGAACTTCTCCTGCTCATCCCTAGTGTGTGTGCATGTGTGAGAGACAATTAGTGTTTCTCTCTCTCCCACATTTATTGGGAAAGGAGATTTTTCACCCCCACAGCTGCCCATACCCATCCCTGCAATTAATTCTGCCCCCCAACCTCCAAATCAATCCTGTCCCCAGATCAGTTCAGCCGCCCCGACAGTCCCCACCATACATCAGTTCAGCTCCCACCTTCCATCTATTCGGCCTCCCAGCCTTCCAGGATGGTGGGGAGCAGTTCTGGCATTCTTCACCCCCTCTGCCCCTTCCCAGGCCAGGGGATGCAGAAGCAATGGTGCCACCCTGACCTTGTTGCTCACAGAAGAAGAGGGAAAAAGAGTGGATGGAGCCATCTTGAACCACTGGGTTCCGTAGCTCCCTCCTGTTCCCTCCCTTCCTTCCTGTGAGGATAGATTCAGGTTGCTGAGGGGAGGGGAAGGAGGAGAGTGCTCTCTTCCTGCAGCAGCTGGGATTGGCTGCCTGCCCCATTTGCCCACCTGGGGCTAGGCAACCAATCAGAAGGGGTCTGCCACCTGGCAGGGCTCAAATTGGTTAGAAGACTGGAGCTTCTCACATTATTGAGAGACCAGACTCCAGCCCCCGCCAAAATCCTGTCACTCATGA